GTGCAGGTGCGCGATAAGCAACTCTTCTGGGCTCATCCACACATATGCTCGATTGCACAGAGCCACGCTTCGAAAGTGCAACCGGCGCTGATTGCGGCCGTGAAGGCTTGCTGGACAGTGATCCAAACCTCCGAGCAGGCGATACTTCGCCGCTTTTGTCCGAAATCGAAGACAGCCCACTGCGACTCGTTTGCAAGGTCGACGTCGAGACCGTGGAGTCACGGGTGCTCCTAGCCGTAGCACTCCTATCCGCATCCTTCCTTCTCGCGTTGTTCGGCAAGCCGTCCCACTTGCTGTTCGTCTTGGGCACGAAGTCTGGCAGCTTCTGGGACGAGACGCCCGGCATGCCCACAGTCATCGTCCTACCACCCTTCTGCGCCGCCGCTTTCTTCTGTGCCTCAGCAAAGTCTTCCCATGCGGATGTCGAGGGTTCCTTCAATGTCAAGAAGCCCAGCATGCCGGAACCCCTCTTCTTCTTCGTCTTCTGCTCGCCCGTTTGGCCCCTTGGGACACCATGCTTGCTACCTCTTCGTCCCGGTCCGTCCTGAGAGTCTTGCGACTGGTCGCTGCGTCGACGCTCCAATGTTGGAGACAAAGTGCGTTCGGAAGAGAGCGACGACAACGGCGGCCGGGCCGGGTTTGCTGTTACGGGCCGCGACGATGTGGTTATAGACTCCACGTCTTGTTCGTCTGATCTTCGGTTCCGTACCGCAAGCTTCGGGACTCTGGTTGCGGCATGATTGACGTGCGTTGAGGTGGGATTCGCGGCAGGCATCAGAATGCGCTAGGCTTGTCAGCGTGTTTGCTTTGGGGTCAGGACTGCAACGGACACGATTGACGAAATCTTCGAGACTCACCGCACCGCCAGCATATGACGAAGTTCTTGAATGCAGTCCTGAGCTTCCCGCCTCATGAGTTCGGACACTAGTGAGCATTGGCAAAGTGAGGTTCAGAGAAGCGTAAATAACGACTTTGTGACAAAGTGAACCAGTCGATTCTCACCGGCAGGTCATTGAGAGACTATGATCGGTTGCTTTACAGGTTTCGGCCTGCCGAGAAACGACTCTTGTGCATGCAATCTGCGCGCTTCCGGGAGGTGCACTGAACCACTGGTGCAGGCAAGGACAGAAGGCCAGAGCCCAGAGCCCGCTATCACACGCCCCGACGCGCGTGGCGCCCTCAAGGCTGAAGGTGGACTGGTGGCGCTGCGACAGCTCGTCCTTATCCGACGTGTTAATGAGATTTTACCTCTTGCTAGCAGACTAGGTAGCGAAAAGCCTAAAAGGGTTTCTTGCCCACGCGGCAGCCCGAAACGGTCAACGACTCAACGGTCACTTGGTGACTTGGCTGTTGCGCGATCGGGAGGGACTAAAGCCTTCTGGCCGCGTTCCATTCGAACTCAATCGGGTTGATACCACGTGGCCGGCCGAAAGAGAGATGACTTTCAGACCAAAGTGCTCCAAGGTCGACAGCAGCGCACAACCATTGCAATGTAGCAGCTTGTACCAACTAATACCTTATTATTATAGCTGCCCTTCAGGCCCCCGGGGTTCCTACGGCTTCCCCGAGAGACAGCCACATACAATATACTAACTCTATTTCATGCTTCTCCACTTCATCTAAAAAGTGGGGACACATGGACGAGGTACCTGTATACCTGATCCGGCAGTCGGGACGAGGTGACAAGGTGCGCGAACGACATTGAAGCTTGAATATCATTCCAACTGGCGGTGCTGGCGGCCTCCATCTGCACACTTCGTCATGCTTGTTTGGCGCACACCCTTCTAGGGCGCCAGCCTCCAGGTATTGACTGTCGAGAAACCAGTCACTGAGTCAAGGGCCGAGGCGTTCGGTGGGAACGGGCGATAACACGCCATTTAGGTACGATGTCAAATCGAAGATGCGTGGTTGGTGAACCACTGAACGCCTCGCTCGCTTATTGTGTCCCGCAACCGGCGTCATCATCAGAGCGTCCGACTCCCGAGCAAGGCTCGCCGCGAAACTTATGAAGTTGTAGCCTGTACAGTGTGAGGACGACAGAGAATGTTGACATAATCGCCGGCCTTCTTTCGATTGTGCAACACTTGACGAAGAGAGATCTCTTAAAGATCTGATCTCAAAAGACCGATGCTGCAACAATGACTGGGAATGGCAAGCGCATCGGCCTCCAGAAGTCCATGGCAGGCGCTTTTAGACTGCATGATAGCTGCAGCCACCTGCTGATCCGGCCATCGCCGAACGTCGACATCGGACAAACAAACTCGACAGAGTCCCTGCCCTGCCATGTGCGTTGCAATGTTTAGTACCATGTATTGATTGAAGCGGAGCCACCGCCATGCTGCCCCCCCTAGCGGCATGACGCTGTGCGACGAGCCTTCGAGATCTAGAAATGCGGCTACAACGAGATTGGTGATGAGCTGCAGAGCAGCAGCAGAGCATTGCAGAGTGCGACGCGCCGCGCCGCTGCGAGGGCTTCGTTTCGCCCTCGCTAGGCGACGCTAGCCTGCTAGGACCGAACAGACTATGCGCTGGGGCCACGACAAAGAATCTCCGTGTACGGTGTGAGTGAGGAGAGGGTAATAATTACTCATTAAATACGGGTGCCCTTCAAGCCTTGTGTAGGCGGACCTTCACTCCATCGCCAGGCCACATGGTAAGCCCCAGGCCCTTCTTGAATCTCAGCATCTGAGCTCTGTCAACCGGCTCGATACTGTCAAATTCCCGCAGCAGTCTTACCAGGACGTAGCTGGCTTCGGTCAATGCGAACTGCTGTCCCAAGCATATCCGTGGTCCGCCGTTGAAGGGAAGGAATCTAACCGATTGAATAGGAGTCAGTGTGAGTCTCCCATGGAGGGTGGGCTGTTCCCAAGGGTCTGACGAACTGCCACGCCGGTATCCTCTGCTCCCACCTTTCCGGCTTGAACTCTGACGCATCCTCGCCCCAGAGGTCTTTCCTGCGGTGCATGAGATATACCGAGTACCCGATCGTCTCACCTTTGCGTACGGCGACCGGTTCGCTTTGATCCTTACCACCCCCGACTGGAAGCGTAGTGTCCCGTGCTGCAACTCGGGCGTTTAGCGGAACTGTTGGATGGAGGCGTAGGACCTCGTTGAGGAAATGCTGAAGGTAGCGACAAGACTTCAGTTGAGCGAACGTGACTGGCTTGCCTGGGACGAAGTCTGTCAAGAGGGTTCCGCGTAGCTTCTTCAGGATGTCCGGGTGAAGTGCAAGGCGCACGAAGCAAAAGCCGAGCAAGGAGGCTGTCGTGTCTCTACCTGCGAAGAGTATTGCAAGTGTCTGGTCACGCAATTCCTCGCGATCTTGGGATTGTGTGGCGAGTTTGGCGAGCAAGTTCGCTTTCTCGCCGTCTACCTTGTCCAGCTTTGCTGCGTCGATGGCGCGCTGAACGAAGTATCTGATCAGGAACACAGTCAGCGAACATTCCGATTCACTAGCGATGTGATTCAAATACACGCACTCGGTGAACCGCTTAGCACTGCGTATCGCTTTGCGAAACCGGAGAGAGTCGCCCACCCAATACAAACTCTGCATCCTTATCCTTGTCAAGATGTGGTCTCCGACAATCACCAGATCGTCTCGAAACTGCTCAGAAGTAGCCTGCATGCCGGCGGAGCCAGCCTTCTCGACATCGTACGCCTCGCTGTTCTGCTGAACTTTCGCTTTCATCGCCAAGGTCTGCGAGTCCACGCTCTCACCGAAGAGAAACTCGCTGGCCGTGTCCAGAGTGAAGTTGAAGAACAGAGGTAGCATATCGCCATCTGGCGTCCAGCCGGAAGCATCGGTGGGCCCGAGAGCTTCGATCAGGGCCGACGCTGCTCTGTCTGTGCTCTCCAGATCGTTGATGTTGTCTCTCGCAAACTGCGGCCTGAATCTAGATTGTCGGAGGTAAGTCAGCGGATGTCTCGGATCGAGTGTGGGTTGTACTCAAAGGTTTCACGAACAGTGCCCGAGAATGCTCCCAAAACGCACCATCGCTGGTGAATATGCTTCGTCCCAGGATGGGCGAGAGCTGCTGATACCGTATATGACCTGTCTCGAAGTCCTTGAACTGGGTGGCGAGGACGGCTTGCAGGTTGGCGGGCTCGATTGTCAGTATGGTTTTACTTCCTTCGAAAGCTCTGCGTTGGGCGGTGTTGCTGTCTCTGAAGTCACTGCCGATGATGTCGTCAATGATATCTTCTCCGGATTTCTTGATGGCGAGCACCCTCTGGAGGCGCTTATGTCTGCACGGCGAGGGATCATGGGTCAGACAGCATCCAAGTCCAAGTCCGTCTGTGATTCTTACCGTTGATACCATGGCTCAGTCACATCCTCAGGCTCCGCACAGCCATGTTGTGTCGCGAATGCTTTGAAGCGACGTTCACGTAGCAGTGAGGTGATGACTCGATAGAAGATGAAGGCAGTGACAAGCACGCTAATCTGGATGAGTGCCATGATCGGGTGGAAGGTCGTCTTAGAAAGCACAGTTGTAGTTGCCAAGGACGATTGAGAGACATTTGCCTGTTCTACTTATGCTTGCACGTCGTGGCCTGACAGTCCGCTCAGGTGATCAGTTATATCAGCTGTAGATCTGAGCATCGCATTGTGCTCTGTATTAGGCTAGCGGCATGCTTCTCGCATTCGCTCCGTCAGCCAATAATGCGGCGGAAAGGCTGAGCTAGAAGGGTGCAAGGCCGTAAAGTGCGCTCCCTTCTAGAGTTCTACCTGTAGGCCGTGAGCATAGGGTGTAGGAGGTAGGCAATACAAAAGCGCCGGGACTGCGAGTCTCCAATGCATCATGCAGATCAAAAGTGGATCAGCGGGTGGGTTATGAGGATGTCAGGTAGCGCGCAAGTGAGATCGCAACTGGGAGAACTTCGGTAGCACATACGCACTGTATATATTGCCAGCTGGCGCCATGATGTTCATCAAGCGAGCAACAAGCTCGTTTGATCATCACGAGCCGCATCAGCGGTTTAGTGGTACTCGATATCTGGCAGCGTTGGTGGTTTAGTGGTAAAATTAGCCGTTGCCAGGTTTCCTACTAGGATATCAACAACATCGGCTAGCCCCGGGTTCGATTCCCGGCCGACGCATTCTTTTGGCTCTCCTTGCGTCGATACGATCGATCAGATCGATCAGAATGGTTGTGGTGTCGTTCTGGGACTGAACGCCGTATTTTTGGTGGTCTGGTCACTCTGGGGTCGGAATTGGTGGGGAAAGTGCAAAATGTGATGCCAAGACTTTATATATTGTTTTCCTGATATCGTCTGCGGTAATATGATTGGCCAGTGTCATTTTGCCGTCGCTCGGAGCCCTAGGGTTGAAGGTGTGGTGTGTTGTGGTCGACGATGTTGAAGTGACGTTGAATGCCAAGACAACTTCCAATCCGTCAATGGTAGATACCCGGCCTTGGAAGTACATCTCTTAGCCCCTTTGAGGTTGTTGGCGACGATATGATCGGCCCAGGTAGCTGCGGTATGGTTGTAGAAATTGTGAGAACATGTTTGGTGATTTCCGGCACCAACAACGGATTGCAAATCCGGACCCGTAATGCCATGACCTCGGAACTCAGCAACTTCATTGCCCTTGTAGCTGAACATCACAGTACTGGTCCTACCTCCCACCCAAAAGGGCCCAAAATTGGCAAAGGAGGTACGAGCAAACCAATAACGAGTCTCGCTTTCCGTACTCTGAACCGTTCTCTACACCTTTGATCCTTCGAGTATCATCATCCCTTGCGACGTCAGCCTCGCTTATGAGCTGAACCGTCAGAGACGTATCTTCAGAGCGTTCAGCCAGTCTCGAACAACGTAGTGGTCATGGCTGAGGAGCGAATGCGAAATGCAACAGACGAGCTCGCGAAGTCTCCGGTTTCAAATGGCTCCGGAAGGCACTGTACATGTCTCCGAGGCGCTATATAGTGTCTCCCAACTCGAGAGTGTATGCACTTTCAGTAGCATCTCTAACCACCACACGTTCCGCTCAGAAGTACAGCCTTTCCCGGACATTCCAACGCCTCTCTCCAAGATCATAGAACCCTTGTGCCGTATATTGGCATTTAGCCTACAGCTTATACCAGAAATCTTACCGCAAAACCTACGAGAACACTCATCCAGCATGACGCAGTTGTCAGACAGTCCGTTCATGCATAGCCTACTACCTTCTACGAAGCAACGCTAACAACCCTACAGTCAAAGGCGATGACTGGGAACGTCTAGCGTCCGAGTACACGAAGATCTCCAGCAACACAACCATAGCTCCCATAGGCATCATGCTCGACCGCGCCAATGCCCTGTCACCTTTCTCGGAAGCATTTGGCATCCTGGACAACGGCTGCGGACCTGGTCCAGTCATGTCCCGTCTCATCAAAGACTACGGCACCACCATACCGAGAAGCTGCTCACTTACTTGTTCTGACTTTAGCGAGGGTATGCTCAAACAAGTCATGAGCACGAAGGAGAAGTCCGATGCCGCTTCGCCGTGGAAACGGGTAGAGACCTTATTGCAAAACGCCATGGATCTCGGTGAAATTGCGGATGAGAGCCAAACCCACGTCACGGCCGGTCTGGTCTACTTCATGACACCCGATCCACGAAAGTGCCTCAGCGAGAGCAGAAGGGTGCTAAAGGAAGGCGGCGTGTTGTCTTTGTCGAGCTGGGAAGGGTCGCAGTGGATGGAGCTCTTGAAGCTCGTTGCAAAGGTATGGCCGGACAAGCAGCTCCCGACGCTGCCGGAAGAGTGGAGCAGCACCACCGCTGTCGAAGGCGAGCTAAAGAAGGCGGGCTTCCGCGACGTGGAGAGCTATCGCGTGCCGGTCGAGATGAGCTTTGAGTCGCAGGAGTCCATTGTGGAGTTCTTGGTGACCAAGCTGCCACATGTGGTGGCCATGAGCAAGGATAAGTCGGAAGAGGATGTGGCGAGACTGAAAAGGGTTATGGTTGATGAAGCGAAAAAAATGTGCCCGGCCGCGCCTGGTAAGCTTGATGGCGTGGCGATAGTGGGCATCGGGAGGAAGTAACGAGAATCCACCAGCGTCTTGCACAGGCCCTATGGCATCGGCAACTTGTCCGGAACGTCGTAACGGTAAACCAGGACCCGTGCATGTTCTCGTGAGCCAATAGCTTACAGCCGAGCCTTCTCTTCACTGTAATCTTCATCCAGCACATGTTCAAGCCTGTCCTTCCATTGTCGCACAAGAGCAGGATCAATGGACGAGCCATCGATGCTTACGCCTACCCCTAGTCCACCATTGGCCGACCCGATGCCAATGAGGAACTCTCCTTCTCTGGGCCTCACTGTGGCGCGCGTATTCCGAAAATCGGCGACGAAGTCTTTGGTATGATCACTCAAGTCGTACATGCCTTGCTTGATAAAAGCGTCTCTGCGGCCGACCGAGCTAACGCCGCATGTTTGCATCGTCAGGTTGGGCCGCATAGGGAACTCACCTTGCGGATTGATGTTCTTGCGGAGCTTCTCTGGCAACAGTGCGTCAGTTCGCTCCACGCTTGAGATGTATTGGTTGGCGAGGACCCGGCCCGCACCTCGACTGCTCATGTACTGTAATTCTGCTGCTTTCTCCGCCGGCTGTGAGCGTTTCTGGTACGAGGCTAGCTGACGGTGCGCTTGTCGGGCCAGGAGTCTAATCCGTCCGTCCAGGTCGAGTTCCCCAGACAGGAAAGGCAAGGCGATACCATCGGAGAAAGCTAGCATAAGGCTATCTGGGTCATTATGGTGGTTGAAGAACGCTCTCGGGTTGAGGGGAAAGCCGCTGATGAAAGGCTTGCGTCCAGGAAGTGGAATACCCGGCAGGAGCGTCTCGTACATCTCCATCATCACAAGCGCAGCCAAAGCGAAGCAGCCTGCGCCGATACTTGCGTTGGCTTCCCGGCACAACCGATGCAAGCGTTGCGTATTGCGTAGTGCCACTTTCGCAAAGACCGGAAAAGCGTTGAGCGGTGGCAACTTTGAGTAATCCAAAACAGCAGCGTAGGTCGGGGAAGACGCTACCGCCTCCAGTGGCGTTAAACGCTTGAGAGGATTCGCAAAGCCTGCCTGTAGAGGACGTCTTACATGGCGCAGGATGCGGGTTATTAACCAGTGCCACCGTTGTCGGGCACGTGAACCCGATACGGGAGGATACAGTGCTTCTTGTGGTAATGGAAGTCGATTGCGGATGGTCTCCGGATCCAATAGCGTCGCCACCTCCACCCGGAGACTATCTTCGGATTTATTCAAGCAATGCACCAGGTCCCGTAACCAAACAAAAGTAGTCAGTCCGTCCCAGATTTGGTGTGAGCCGACTACGAGGAAGCGGAGATTGTACCGGCCATTGCCTGTTGCCTCGAGAGGAAACACAAACTAGAATACACGGGTCAGAACGTACCCCTACTATAGGATATGGTGAAAGCCGTTCGCTGCTTACGAGTTTCGCCAGTGCCTTGGTCGGGTCTGCGACTCTTGCTACGTTTTGCGAGTGTATCCAGAAGTCCTGAGTGTCCACAGCCTCGTAATGATCTCCCAGGAATACGATCTGCTTCTCAGCTTCTCGAACGGCCTCCCCAACCGTTTCCGGCATATCGACGGCGAAGCAGATATTATCGTCCGGCCTCCTGACTCCTTCCACCACGTCTGACATGGGAACTGCCTTTGCCTGGAGTAGCACGTGCTGGCATCTCAGGCATGTCCAAGCAAGTAATAGTCGTCTATGAAGCTCTTCCCGACCATACTGGGTCCTGACCTCCAACTCCAGGAGGGCGTTGATGTCGGCTCGACCTTCATTGTACCTACCATCTGCATCGAAGGCGAGCTCGACCAACCCCAAACGCCTGTAGTAAGTCGTTCTGCGGTCGACCTTCGCGGTTTGCCACTCGAATGTTCCGGCATAGTCGTCCAGCCAATGAGGCGCATGCGCTCCAGGTTGCATCGTCTTGAAACGGCCGGGGAGTGAGCCTGAACAGTTTGCTGTACATATGCGTAGAAGGGAGAAGTAAGGAGTACTTGCCCATGAGTAACTGACCTACCTCACCGTCATCGCGGCGGTCATCGCACTGCGATTTCGCCGAGGCTACGAGAAATGCCCGACTCGGCTACCTTGGACCACGGCTCATCAAGACAGTATCCTGTTATAATGGACATCCAGTCGGTATTCTATATAGATAAAGGTCAAGAGCGGACGAGACGAGTATGACGAACAACGTTGCGAAACGGAAAAGGTTTGACAAGCAGTGTCACAGTCACTCACAAGATGATAGCCCGCTATCATCTGTGGCTGTGGCTGTGCACGAGATAAGGCGGACCTCTGTCCCCGACCCTTGCACATTGAGAGTCCTTTGCATGCCTATATATCTGCAACCAGCCGCGATGGACAAGATCCGACCCGATGTAGACAGGAAGCTGTACAATCCAGTACGGCTACGCTAATGCCAAAAACAGCAGTGGGTATCTCCAAAGACACAGCCCAGCGCCACGGAATGCCGCTACACAAGATCTAAAGCCCATCCAATCAGTACTCTTCCTCGTCCGTTGTTGTTGTCGCGCCTTCACTGCTGTGACTGCTGCCGCCACTCACGTACGACCGATCAACCGCCCAGATCCACTCGCCGCGCTCTCTGTCGTTCCTGCAGGCGAACAGCCACGCCTTGTTCGTGGCGTAGACGGCCCACACTTCCAGCCGGACATTCTCTCGCTGCAGCAGCTTCGCGACTTGCGGCTCAGCATCGATGCGCGAATTGGTTAGGTTGATGGACATCAGTTCGTCACCGTTGCTGTCGTAGAGATGGAGGTAGGGGCGGCGGAGTTCGACGTAGCGACGGATCCAGCGGGTCCCTGTGGGATCGGGCGAGAGGAGCCAGCCGCCTTTGAGGAGGGCGAGTGTCTTCGGATGCGATTCTACTATAGCCGCTAGTGGCGCCGGCTCGATTGGACCGTCAATGTGCCCGTTCAGGTGCGTATCACTCTGTTCAGGAGACCCTGATGTGGACCGGAGAAGCATGATCTCACTAGCCGAAGGCGTTGTCTTCCACAGACTCAGCACTTTGCGCACAAGCGCCTGCTGCCGCTCACCCAATGCCTCGCCCTCTGACATCGTGGCTTT